CCTCATCGCTCGAGGGATTACATAATGTTACTGTTAACCACAAAATCATTTTTGTGTGTTCAATTTTCAGAACGTTCCTTGTGATATTGAAAATATGAAAAATTATGAGGAAGGTTGTTTGTTCATAGACAACCGACGTGAAACAACGCTTGCGTTGTGTTCTTCGTATGAGTGAGTTTACCGGTGGCTCAAGTACCCTATCGTTCCGACTCGATAGGAGTAATACCACGGCTTCACGCAAAAACCGACGTGAAACAACGCTTGCGTTGTGTTTCGTCATGTCAGTGAGGTTACCAAAAATCCAATAACCCCCCTTCCCAACCTACCCAATCCCCGAATCCCCAATAACCCTGAAATTCTTAAACCCCAAAAGGCCGGTAAGAATGAATGAATGAAATACGTTAATTCGACATAAGACATGCACGCCAGAAAAAAAAACTTACCTATACATTGTGACATATAAACGTAACGCACTTGTAATGCCTCTGGTGTTTCAGGTGTCCATGGGCGGCGCCGATTGCTTACCATCAGGTGATCCGTCAGCTCGTTTACCGGCTTATTCGATACAAAAACTTGCTAATCAACATAGTTAGATTTAACATTTAATAAATCTCACTGGCATCCCTATAAAAAATAAAACGTAGATTTATATATATATATATACTCATACAATTTTATCACTTCCATCTCACGATATTAATTTATCTTCTCACAATATTTAACACAATATACTTACGGAACTGATAATATTCTTATAGATAACTTTATCAAATGTTTGAAAAGCCTATGTGATATTTAATTAGACATTTATTATCTAAAGTACTGAGATTCTTATTATCTTAATGAATTTGTTTTAATGTTCGTTGTAGGCCTATAGATTGTGTGTACAAATTGAAGAATGATGAAATTATATTTTGTTTTAGAAATTTTTTAGAAACTGGTAATATAGATACAGTGCTTAACTCGTCGAGTACCGGTTTTGTAGACACAATTATAGAACAATAGGTTGCGGTCACCGGTGACCGCTTGGTGTTTGACATTTTAAGTTGTAAAAAGATTTATACAATGTGTAGTTTTGAAACCGTGTCATTTTTCGGGAGCATGTCACAGAAGTCATAAAGGTTCAATATAAGCGAAAATTTCGGGCCAATAGTTAAAAATACGGCTATAATAAATCGTTTAAGTTCGACAGTATTTCAGAATAATCGACAGCAATGTTTCTTATTGGAGTGTTATGGAATTAGGAATAATATTAATTACGTGTCTGAGTTTGTGTGTGTTAAGCTAATTACAAGACGATGGCGTGTACTTCGTACTTACGGATATCCGTAATTTTAGAAAAATGAAAAATATTTACCTACAATTTTTTTTATTGATTCGGACTCAGAATCTATATCCGAGTTACCTCCTAGAAAATGACGCGGCTTTAACGTTATAAAGCCATTGTATATACATTATATATAACTTATTGGCCCTTACCTCTAGTTGAAGTTGAGTAACATAAGATAATGGTACCAAAGAAAAGAAGAAAGGAATAAGTGCAAAGACAATTTCTAATTTTTATAAATTCTTAATCTTATACTTATTATAGTAGTATAAAACAAAGTCACTACCCGCCGTCTGTCTGTCCCTATGTATGCTTAGATCTTTAAAACTACGCAACGGATTTTGATGCGGTTTTTTTAATAGATAGAGTGATTCTTAAGGAAGGTTTATATGTATAATACATGCAAATTGCACCCGTGCGAAGCCGGGGCGGGTCGCTAGTAATACATAAACCTTATAATATGTAATATAAATCTTATAATATTATAGAGTTTGTTTGTTTGATCGCGCTAATCTCTTGTACTACTGGTCGGATTTGAATAATTCTTTTTGTGTTGAATAGTGAGACGACATTTATCGAGGAACGCGAAAGGCTACAAAAACTGTCACCATCAATAGGTGCCGAATAGAGCGGGTAAAACCGTGCAATAGTAGCTCATAACTATTATACTGTAACTTGATTCATATCTGATTTAAATAAATATAAAAAACAATGGGCTCACTCTGTATTTTAATAAATGCATGCAACTAGTAATTATTATTATATATGAAGTAAGTACTTAAGTAGGGTGTTTCCTTGTCTATGGTCCACAGATAATATTAGATATTAAATATTCTATCATTTCAGTAAAATAATAAGTCTGTGGACCATGGACAAGACCTCACTTCATTTTAATTTTTTAGCTTTTTTTTATTTTCTTTTTTATTTTTTAAATATGTTATGTGTTTTTTGCGCAGAAATAAATGGCTTTTCTTTCTTTCTAACTGTCGATAAATCTCTTCCTATCTCTTTAAAAATTATAAATATGTCCCGAATGTAAGCCACATAATATAGTTCAGTAATTTGGTAACCCGGAACTTTCGGGTAGCTCTCATATTTCCCTCCTTAATGATCGGACTAATATGACATTCAATAAACAAAAAAATCAAGACGTTCCATGATCAAAATACTAAAGCAATTCTCAATCGCTGCACTCGTATTATTTTTACCTAACCGACAAGAAATACATTCGACAGCCAACTCAAAAAAGTCGCACGACAATGTCGCATCTCTGCAACTAGCCAGCTAAAGATCCAAAGTCCACAATTAGATTGCACACACACGCTGTACCCGATGACGGTTGCAGTCGCCATGCAGTCTCCAATGCATAAGCAATTGACTCCTGACATCAAGACCTGATGGTGACGTGACTCCAAGATAATTAATATGTCTGACGAAACACCGGCTTATATTGCGTTTGAAGATTTTAGTTTATAGTTAACCGACTTCAAATAAAGGAGATTCTCAATTTGATCTGTATATTTGTATGTATATATGTGCGCGATTTTCTCTCGATTGGCTGAACTAATTTTGATGCGGTTTTCAGAAACATGTTGGTTAGGTACATTTAGGAGAAGGTTTTAATATATTGATTGTCCGATTTCAAAACTAGACAGAACTGAAGTCGGTTTTTTTAAACGTAGTTTATGAGAGAATTACTTTGAGAGTAAGGGCTAAGAAAATATAACAAGTGCGATACCGGCCTTTTGGGAGTTAAGAATTTGAGGATTGTTAGGGATTCAGGGTATGGGGAGGTTGGGGAGGGGGTAATTGGGCCTCTGGTAGCCTCACTCACCACGAAACACCGTTGTTTCACGTCGGTTCTCTGTGAGACCGTGGTATCACTCCGGTCAAGCCGGCCCATTCGTGCTGAAGCATGGCTCTCCCACACTTAATACCTACTGAAAATATTTTCAGGAATAGCAAGTTTAATGCTATTTTTGTAACTGTCCTATATTTTATAACGGTACTGAACAGTAAATGTAGGCTCATGGTCGATTTTTTAAATGAAATTCACCACTTTTCAATTCATGTGACCGCCTTGAAATTCAGACATGTTTCGACATGTCCGATCACGTTGTCACATGTCTTTATAAAGCACATTTGGGTGCCATATGCCTTGATAACTTAAGTTTTCTGTACTTGTAAGTACGTGACTCATTTATATGTGGTGGAGTCATCTCCTCGAAGGAATTTTGTAATCGCAAATGACTGTGAAAATATCGCAAATGTGATTGTTCTATTATTTTTTATGGGATAAGCCAGTAAACGAACAGACGGATCACCTGATGGTAAGCAATCGTCGCCGCCCATGGACACTTGGAACACCAGAGGCGTTACAAGTGCGTTACCGGCCTTATGGGGACTGAATTTGAGAATTGTTGGGGAATAATTGTGCCTCCAGTAACCTCATTCACACAACGAAAAACAATGCAAGCGGTGTTTCACTATGATTAGACCAAAAAGTATTTGGCTCCCAGCGAGCAAGTTGGTATTATTAACTTTAATAGTGCGGAATCTGTATTCTGCAATTAGTACTTGGGAAGCCCTGCACCTTGGTAAACATAAGTGGTGAATTTTAATACGCCTGTCTTTTAAAATGCCATTTTTGACGCCATATCTAAATTTGAAGTCCGTTGACTTCAATCAACTTCTGAACTCTGTCCACCTGGGTACAACAGCCGGAGCTGAAAACGATTTAACAGGTTACCGAAGGCTTAGCTCGAAGCGAAGTAGGACCGGGTAGTTTTTAGTCAATAAGAGTCTGACGCTACGTCGTCCCATCTAAAGCCGGAGATGACATTGGATGATTTTCCTCCGTCAAATAAAACCGTATGACAGATGTGAATAAAAAGCTGACACGTGTAATTTATCCTCAGCAACAAAAAATGTACATCTTTTACGTACCCTAGGTATGTACATAAATTAAGTACCTAGGTCTTAATTGTCATTCATTAAAATGCACTCGTGTTCCTTCAATTGCTCTATAAATTGAACACGTGTATGTTTAGAGGGGGAGAGGAAGGGGGGATGTTAGTCATAGACTTAACAATCTCGCATAGACACTAAGTCTAAGACTGGTTCGTCGGTCTAGTGTTGAATGAGGTGAGGTTTCAACTTATATGGTCACAAACATAACGTTTAATAACTAAGGAATAACATTTCAAAATTTGTCATCGTATCTGAGTAAAGTTTAGATTCATAATAATATTTTATGTCCAGTATTTTTTTAAGGGGAATTATCATCGAATGACTGCTCCCGCCTGGGTGAGGCGGGAGGGAGTGTCATACTCTTACTGACTAAAAACAACCCCGTTCCTTCTCCTGCACGTTGAGCCGGAGCCTCGGTAACCCGTTAGGTTCTCCGCGACTTATGTCCATATACTGGGCAAACGATTTAAGGATCAAACTGATAGCAACAATTGCTTCGCAGTCAGAACTTCTTGATTAAACAAGGTCGGCAACGGACTTGGGACTCCTCTGTAGTTGTGGATATCCATGCTGCTTGCCATCGTTCACTCCTATTCCATGAAAATGAATAATTTACATATATTTATTGTGTGTGGCCCTATTTAATAAAGTATTGTTTTTTACGATTTACAATTAATCACTCATATTGGTTTCTTTTTTCCAGATTATTCATGTTCGCTCCGTACTTCAAGTTACAACAGATCACGCCCAATACCTAAGTAAGTCATTCTTGTCATGTTTTACTAAGTTCTTGATTGGCAAACAAACTTTTGAAGGCAAATTGTAAACAAATTCTAAAGATTAACCTTTAGTTAGATGTAAGGAGTCGAATTGACATCTTTAAAATTTTGGTCTGCAATCGAATCGAGTCGAATGATTGCAAGGCAAGTGGCTGGCTTACCGGCTGCAGCACAACGTGTTGCAGGTTCCACACAATGCATATCACACGGAAAAAGTATTTGCGAGATATATGGAATTGTACGTTATTAAAAGCACTCATGATATTGAAGGAAGTCCTCCAAGTCCAGTGTTAGTTGTCACAAAATTTGCATTTTGAAGCATTCAGTTAAATATTATCTTAGTTTGACATTTGCTTGTATATCTTCCTATAATCTGCTCTTTAGAATCCTTAATATTATACTTGTGAATAACGGATAGAATGCATAATATTGTATACTAGCTACTTCCGCTCGGTTTCACACGCTCTGCTCAGCTGCTATTGGTCGTAGAGTGATGTTTTATAGCCTATAGCCATCCTCAATAAATGTGCTATCCAACACAAAAAGAATTATTCAAATCAGACTTGTAGTTACGGAGATTAGCGCGTTCAAACAAACAAAGAAAAAAACAAACTCTTCCGCTTTATGTAATAGTATAAGTCAATAGTATAAGATTTCAAATATATACTTTAACTTAACGTGGTTAGAGTACATGATTATAACAGTAAATACGATGTAGCTACTTGTCCTAACTGTTTAATGAATAAGTTAAAATTATAACTATCTTATTTGCTATGGTGATCCTTGGTGATACATTCACTGACCATAGCGCAAAGGGTTTGACTACTTGAAATTTGAACTTCGATATTCTTTTTTCAAATTACAATGGCAGTTGGACTTTGTGATGGTTTTGTTGACCTAATTATTATGTATGCATATTAATTAGGTGACGCGACTACCAAACACGAAATTCTGGAATTTAACTTAAAATGGACCGAAAACCGATGATGTTTGTAAAAATTATTGTCCTGTCCAATCATTTCTTAAACCAAATACCATACACATATATAAGGAATTTGATTTTTGATTCTGTCTTCAATATGCCCTTAATTTCTATTATTTGAACATAATTATGCAGTACAATACAAGACCTTTTTTATTGACGAAGATCAAAAAAAAAGACAGACAGAGAAAAAGAGTAGGGAGTGTGGGAATTTTATCTTACTAAAACCTCTCCGGTGACCACCATCTGCACCTGAGGAGGCACCGGGTCCTCTTAGTAGTTACAATCCAAGACCATGCCCAATCTTACTTTGATCCCCTCAATCAGAAAGCCACCAACAAAAAGTCCCAACTCCACAATCTTCGCAACCAAACCATTAACTTGATTCTTTAGTATATTCCCTCGCTGACGTACATGCAAATATGGAGCCCATCAGATGCAACAATCTGACCTATTTCTCTTCAACACGTCAGTATAATATCTCCATAAGTAATTCAGCTTTCCTTTTGGAGAATAATTCAACATTTTCATTATACCTTGAGGTGGTTTTATAGGATTTTGCTGTGGGAAAAGGATGGGAATTATATATGCTTGGTTAGGAGTAGCAATGATAAGACTGATGACTGTGGAGGAAGCGAAAGAGGTCTGTAAGAATCGTAACAATGGGGGCTACCGTTTTTTATTCTTCAGATGGATCTAGTGTGAACCTCTCGTCTCTTCATCCAATAGGGAATTAGCTAGAGTCACACTATTGGTTATTTAATTTTTGACAGCTACAGTGATTGGACAAAAATGTCTTTCTATGTTTGCATCATCTGGTGAGCAAAAAGCGGTAGCCCCCATTAGCATTCCAAAGTCGCTGCCTGGGGGTCCATGGGAGACCTGTTAGGCAGAAAGCCGCCAGGCACGATCACCTCGCCTGATCGGAGGATCCTCCTTTTCCAATTTTAGGGAACTTTACTCTCTGTTGCTTAAAAAGCTTTTAGTGATAAGATCAAATTGTAAGCAAAATATGGCCGTTGGCCCTATGAAAAATGTTCACATATTTAATTTACTGAATCTTGTAGAGAAATTAACTCTTAGAGTGCCACGGCAGTCACCGGTAGGTGCCTGACGCTAGTGGAGGTTTAGCTTTTATCATTTTAAACTTGACAGTTAAATTGTAAAAAATCCGAACATTAGGAGATTTTTAAATTGCTTTGTGCGTTTGAATTTATGTAGATAGAATATTAAGTTTTATTAATCTGAATTTGTCACTCTGTATAAGTCTTTCTAAACTTTAGAACAGATTACTTTTTAATCTAATTAACCACTACGACAAAAAGGTATAATCCCTAATCAAAGTTATCCAAAAAGTAAAGACACCCACCTATTTCTCCGAAACTTAATCCATCAAGGCTATCCAACAAAAACCGATACATACATACGCACGAACAAACATACAGACAAAAAAAGCTTATAAGAAAGTTATGCATAATAGCTAGCTACGGACAAGTCTGGGCTTTCTTGTGCCTTTTTTATTTCTTTGACAAGTTTCAAGTTTCTTACAAAAAATAATACAGGTCAAGATCAAGGTAGCTACACTAACTTAAGCACATGGGTATGCCTGCTTGATTCGTTTTTACAAGTTTCGTTCAGTTTTAATTCATAATCAGATAATTTTCGCAATGAATATTGAACTTGAAGCAGTTATTTCATTAAGATTATTTCTCATATTCAAGGAAAAAGATAAATTTTACAAATACCTGGTAATTTGTCGGTCATTCATGAGAATGAAATATAGAGGTTTGAACCAAAATCTCTTATTTGCGCACGTCTAAGCAGAACATGACTCAAATGGAGGAAAATCATCCAATTACTTCTCCCGCCTTGGGTAGGAGAAAGAGTGTCAGACTCTTATTGACTAAAAACCACCACGTTCCTACTCCTACAGAGAGACAGAGGCCCGGTAACCTTCTAGGTTGTTCGCAGCTTCAGGAATATAGTGTTCCTAAATTTAAGGTCCCTTAAAACTCGCTATTTCTAGGATTAGTGTTTGTGTAAAAGAATGTTGACACAACGGCTAATGCCTTCTAATGATTTTTATACTCCAATTAATGTTCTTATTTCGTTCGTAAAGTCGTTTATTATCTTCTTTGTTACAATTAACTCTTAAAACAATTCACTTCCCAACCTTTTCCGCAAGGAAAAGATTGAAGATCTTAAGTGTCGACTACTATCTTTTTCCTGTGTCGAATCACTTTAAAAATCACACAAAAATGTGGTTCATCCACATTTCTTCGCTCTTTATAACATTTTAACTGACAAACAAACAGACAATCGGTTAAGTTTCCCGGTAGTAAGGTCATCAGCAAACCAGTACGGGGAAGCTTACGTCATATTACACGTTCGATGCTTTTTTGTTTCACTTTTTTGCAATAAAACTTTACTGCGCAGCGGAGAAATGGTGTGTGGTAACGTTGTGAGAATATTTATTCATGGTTCTGCATGTATTTGATCTATAAAGACGAGTGTATTAATTTTTTTCATGGAATAAGCCGGCGAACTATCTGTCACTTTTGATTGTTAGCAATCCGCGCCGTCCATGAACACTAGAGATGCCACAAGTGAGTTGCCGGCCTTTCGAGGATTAGAGGTTTGCGGATTGGGGAGAGCTGTAACTGGGCCTCTAATAACCTCTCTTACACGGCGAAACATAAAGCAAATTGCTTCACGTTAGTTGTTAGAATGAATTAATGAATTGGTTAGTTCAAAACTTGATAAGTAATGGACCAGAAACCATAAAAGATTGTGGTAGGCCCCCTGCACCTGGGATTATCTGTGTACCGCTAAATAAGATTAACCCATTTCTTTTTACTATACTCTAAAGTGGACCCTACTCAATTTTGAAAGAGCTTGTTTTTTAAATCAACGTTTGGTTTCAAATTAATCGGAAGACCACCTTACCAAAACAGCTTATGATACATTTTCAAATAACAAGATCATTTGTTACAAAACCATTAAACTATCAAATACCAAGCGGTCACCGGTGACCGCAACCTATTGTTCTATAATTGTGTCTACAAAACCGGTACTCGACGAGTTAAGTCATGTCATCAAACCAAGAATAGAATATTTACAAACACCAACGCTTAATTTCGAGGTACAAAAGCGATATAATCGGTGACACCTTTCTGATAAATAAACAACAGTAAAATAAAGATAGAATTCTTAATTAAACTAAGAGATATTGTAGCTTGAGATCACAAGGATAAACGATCCTTTCTTTAGAAGAGATATTTTTAGCAAGACCTATTTTTTTAATACCTTTGTTGATAAAATGATGGATGAATACAACGTACAGCCTATTGCCATATAATCTTGGTAATATCACAAAAAAAAAGAACAAGGAAGGGGAAATTCTCTAAAAAAACGTTCTATATTAAAAAAGAGCACATAATTTATGATCTCTAATACACTTTAAACACGTACTTTCACGTCCTTCGACATTTCCTTCACACCTGCCAGTTGCAAGTTTTTTTCGCGCTCTTTTTTGTCCACCATCTTTTTTTTATCTTTTTTAAACGTCGCCGCTCTGACTCATTCGTATAGAGCCAAGCTTTCTTGACAGTGAGGTTGCGTAATCAAAAAAGTTTTTATTCCGTAATTATAATTGACAATTGTGCGATTTTTTGTTGGGATTCTTCAACTTTTTTTATCTGTTGCTCGGTGAGTGTTATTTTATTAATCTTTTTGTAACATGTTGCGGTTTCGAGTTTTTTGTTTGTTTTTTTTGTGTTATTACTTATGTCATATTAAAGCTTTTCCTTTTAGTTTGAGCTTTTTGTTGATGGAAAGATTGAGTCATCAGTTGCTATGTTTTTTTACTGTCAGTATTAACATAATTTACATAGTATAAGTGCGGTACAAGGTGATCTCTTTTCATTTTATATAGGGTATCTCCGAATAAGGAATTTTTAGTATTTGTTTTCACGAACGTTTGTTTATTTCTGCGAAC